GCGTTCGTTGTGAAAATTCTTCATCCTGAGTTCATATTTAGGTAAGAATCTTAAGGGCCTGAATTAGGGATGCTGTTCTTCTGAGAAGACATATATTTGCTCTTGGGAAGTCTGCTTCCAGGCTAATTGAGATTCCTTTGTAGGTTATCTTACTCTTCTCACTGGTTGCTTTTAAGGACTTCTTTTTGTTTTAAGCATTTTGAAGTTTTAATACAATATGTTGTGTATGTATTTCTTGTTTAGGGTACAGTATTCTTCGTGAATCTATAGATTCTTGTCTTTCATCAATTCTGAAAAATTCTCAGATATTTTCTCTTCAAATAATTTCTCTACTTTTTGCTGATACCTGATTGGAATAGATTATATCTTATTATTTTCCAAGTCTCCTAAGCTCTTTTATGTTTTTCATCTCCTTTTTCTCAGTAATGTATTATGGGTAATTTCAGCTATGTTTTCTGGTTCACTAACTCACTTGTGTCTATCTGCTTTTTAACTTGTTGATTTTTAAAATTTTTAACAGTTATTTATATAAAAGTTTATTTTTCAGATTTGCTTGTTCATTTTTAATTATTTCTTACTGCTTGCTTATTTTTGTAAATTTTTTTTAACGCCACTCATAGTCAATAATATCAATATGTAAAGTTGGCTTGGTGTTTCAGCTTGCTCAGTTATGGTAGGCTGTGTGTTAGATTGTCTTTCATTATGACCTCATATTTACTTAATCTTAGTCTGTGAGAATCTTGAAGACATGAATTGAGCATCTTTTCTTTCTGAGAAGATATTTGTTTCTGACAGACTGTGCTATATATGGGACTATTTAATCTTCTTTTGAGGGTACCTGACTTAATATAAAAGATTCAGGTTTAGCACCCATCCTTTGCAAGCTAAGAGCTTAGTCTCAGCATCACAAAATTGGTATTTTGACATTAGCCTTCAGGATAAACCACCTTTCACATTCACAAATCCCAGCTAAGTTTTCACTCTTTTTTCTTTTCCTTTTTTTAAATGGTAGGACATAAGTAGATGCTTTGAAAATATCTGTTGAAGTCAAGAATAAAAATAATGGTAGAATAATCAATGAATAAAGTTAGTAACTTAAAATCATATTGAATATTTAATAAAAGAAACGTAATATTATCTTCTTATTTCTTTAAGTTGTAAGTAATGGAAACATAAGTTTTACAAAATCCCATTAACTCAGTGTATAAATTTATATCAAAGAACAAATGAATCCAAAAGAAATGGTCAGAATGTTTATTTCAGAACAATATCCTTGCTCTCTAGATTATGCAGAACACTAAGAAATTCAAGATTATGTAAATGAGTGTTCTTTTCCCCTTATGGGCTATGGAATAAACAAGATTATCCCCTTTTTATGAGACTCACTTCTTATATTCATTATTCCAAAAAGCTAACACAATATATGCATATTGTAATCAAGTGGTTTTGAGTAGTTACAGGTTTCTTTTTGACTAAAAGAACAGTGATTATATATTCTTTCTCATAAAAAATTTTGAGAGTCATCTACAAGTATATTTAATTAGGAAGTAGTTTTAAATGCAAAAGATTTATTCAAATCAGAACTTCACTAATGTGTTCTATTTTGAATTCATTCTGGATTTAAGTCTTTTTTCCTCCACCAATTCTATTTTCCAGTTATCTAACTTACGATTCTCTACTTGCTCCTTTAACATCTCATTTACTGTAGTTCCATGAAGTTTATTTTGAAAGCAGTAGTTTTAATTAAGGCAAAATGGAGGAAAGTTTTAACATAATCCAGGTCTTATTTTGTAATAAGGACTGTTAAATACGACAAAATGTAGTAGAACAAAAGGTTATGTGACTTCAGGGATGTTGTTTTATGCCCTTTTTTTTTTAGTTTTATGTCCTTTAATAATATATTTTGGATACCAAAGTAAGTATAAATATCATTGGTTAGAAAGTAAAGGGAAATGAAGTAGAAAGAAAAATACTAAGAAAGTGATAAAGATGGCACATTCACAGGTGTCTACCAGACTTATGTTAGTCTGCAAGGCAGTTGGAGGAAGGGAGATTATTGGTTTGTTTTGAGGTAATCTCAGGGAGAAACACTGTAACATCCTGGAAGGAGGACTATTAGGCTAAGGTATTCTTCTTTATGTCTACGAGATGAACATGGGATGGATAGCAGCTATGAATTTTCTCTACTGTCTATTGTTGTTACTGTTGTTAGTCCATTTGTAATAGCAACAGGTGGATTTAATCTTATCTTTACATTGGTAATTCTGTGGAAATAAATGCTTAGGAAAATACTTTGCGTGAGGGTCCATTGTCAATCACTGAAGACTACAGAGCGCCACTTAATTCTGCAGAGTATAGTTCTTGGTGCTTCATTCCTACAGATGGGACTTAGCAGTACCGTATATCCAAACCACTTTATTTCTGAAGAAATGACTTTTTAGCCAGACTGTGAATACATTTTTAGTTGGAAGGTCTTGTTTACTTCAACCGTGTACCCTTTATAATCAGGGAGTGTGGTGTGGAATATTTTGTAGAAGTGTGTTCATTTTGTACTTAAGTTTAATCTTTTGGGTAAAGTAATAAATTCTGTGTGCATGGAGTATGACTTACCAAGGTTATAAAAATTCATGTAAGAGTAATTCCACTTTCATGACATATTCTGAGTATCTACATCTTTTTATCCATTTATTTTGAGAGAAGGACGTGTATTTTTACTTTCAATTTCCAAATCCTTTTTCTCTATTAATCCACACACTTTCTTTTTGACAGTTTTAAGTATCTGTACTCACTAGGGAGTGAGTAAATATTTAGGGTTAAAGAAGCAATGAGTTTGTAAGTCCTAGAAAATAACACATTTTTTTAAAAATATGAATGACTAAAGGAAGCTGTGTGACATTAAAGAAACTATGGTTTTACCAAGTGTTATAAGCTTAGACTTATGGCAGTTCATTGTTCTCTTATTAATAACTCCTACTCTCACTGCTGTTGATACAATTAGGTTATGAGTGATCCGTTTTATGAGCGTTAATTCAGTTTCACCTCCATTCAAGAAGTGTGTTTAATATGGTGAAAGAAGGAGTTTTTAAAAATAGATATAAGATCGATGCTAACTGGAGGAACAGAAGGAATGCAGAGAAGATGAGTCGTATGATTTGAGAATTCCTAAGAAACTCTTGATTAGACTGAATGTCACGGAGAAAAGAAAGAAAAATATAATCGGCCATTAAATATTTTTGGAGACTTATTTTTGCTAGCCACAGAAAAGCAAGGCCATGATTTTTATTTTTAGTACCTAGTTCTTTCATCTTTACTGAAAATTCTGTTCTTAATTGAAAAGCCTATATTATTTTATCTAATACTGAAATTCAAAATGAATATAAGAATAATCATTCAAAGTATACAAAATAGTTGAGATCTCAGACCTGAAATATTTTAATATCAAAAATAAAAGCCAAAAATAAAGAGTCTCTTCAGCTGCTGTCATTTAGTCCTTAGGGTAATTGATGAAACAGGACCAAGTAAAAGTAGTATTAATGTGCTGGGCATTATACTCAGGTCTCTATATGCATTTCCTCATTTGATTTACATAAAAACCCTATTATGTATCTACTATTATTTCCATTGTTTTATGGGGAAAAAAAAGATAAAGAGAGGGGTAAACCCAGGTCCATCTGACCCCCCAGAGCTGGAGAGCATACCACTTTGGTTTTCTTTGTAAGTTTAGAGTCAGCTACCATATTGTATGCATTGTGGCTGTGCAAAAGTCAGTATAATAATAATGACCAGAATGGAAACTTGTCTAGTTTCTTTTCCTTTTTCTACTCTGATGTCTTTCAAAGCTTTCAACAAGTTTGCATAGCTTTTCATAGAGTTACCTTGACATTTACTGAAACCCAATTCAATTTGTTTAGTTGGCCAGAACATAGCCTTTTAAAACCTAGGTTAGAAGTCTAAATTCTTTATGGACCCATTGGTTTAACTGAATTTTGTGGTCAGAGCCTCTACAAGTAATCTGTTCTGATTGATATTAGTCATAGGTCAGGACAATCAGTCCATATTCATGACACCACTAGAGCCCACTATATTATGGTAACTGTTTTTGGAATTATGTCATGATCTAAGAAAGCTGTTGTGTCAATCTGAGAAAACTTGTCTATTTTGGGGGACTTTTTGTAATAGTGTTTATCTGTCATGTGGTGTCCAAATTTAGCACTATGCAAGAGATTGGTCTAGGCAATTATAAAGGATAGAGAATTTCCCTTAGGAAGTTAGAATATGGGAAAGATGTTAAGTTTTAGTCTCCAATAACTGCTACAGTACAAACCACAAAGAAAATAAAGGAGATATAAAAACTAGAAGAAAGTCATTTAGAAAGACTAAAAGTAAGACATGCCTAGGAAGTTATTGTTGATTAGACGTGCTTTTGAAAACCTAATTTTTTACTTTCTAGAGCTTATTTTTCTTATTGCCTTAGGTTTTAAAATGTACTTCATACCTTTTTCTTGCCCTCTCCCCTCTTTTTTTTTCTGATATAGATGAGTATGTTTGTCACCTATGCCCAGAAGAAATTCTTCCAGATCATTAGGATTATAATGTTTGAGCTTAACTGATTTGGAGGGGATAGTTGAAATTATCACTTTCTAAATCTGCAAGACCATTTAGATTTTAGGTGTTATCTTTGTTAGCAAAGCACTTTAAATTTTATATAGTGTTTTATGTATGAAAGCCTACTATTTTTGTTTACTGAATTAAATTCAGTCCATATGAAATAATCCATAAAATAAACCTTATATTGTCAACCAGTTGGATATAGTGATGAAACTCATTCATGTGTTATTTCACTCTGGTTTGATATATAAATCTCGGATTTTTAGCATGGAGTGGGGAAAAATACTGATTACAGTTCTCTTTCCCTATTTAAATTTCTCTTTTTTTTTTTTTTTTTTGGCTATTTTTCTCAACTGTCAGTGGAATTATTGTCTTCCTGTCTCCATATTCAGGTAGTGTCAGTGGCTGAGTATCACCGCAGGATCGATGCTCTAAATACTGAAGAACTGCGCACACTCTGCAGACGTCTCCAGGTGCCCCCTTCAGTAGTCTAAACCCCTCCAGAAGCTGAATATTCCCTGTTTTTAGTGTCCTTTGTCAGGGCGTATCTCACATTTGAAGGTTTTGTTTTGATCGCAGCACTAAAAAAACCCATCAAAAAATTCCTTTTTGAATTAAAGGGTACAGTATTGCCTTGTAGAGCTGTATGATTATCTTTTCTGTTGTCTTTCCACTTGGATAATATTCAGAAAAATTTTCTGTCACTTCAGGACTATTCTTAGTACTGTGTGTTTCTTTGAGTGATGCAGAGTCTTCATTTAATTTTTACATTGGATGAAAGTCTTTGGTTTTGAAATTGAATCTTTTTTAAACAATCTGAAAGATGTGGTACTATGGGAAAATTTAAACAATTTAATGGATAGGAAGGCTTAAATATTGTGTCTTGCTTAAGGCTGTTTCAGTTGTTTCAACCCCAAATCAAATATCTCAATGGGATAAATTGTCTTTGTTCTTGAGCCATTCCTGGTTAGTATTAGAAATACTTTGGAATAGTATAGGTTAAGGACCAGAAGTAGGTAAATTATTTTAAATTCTGTGAAATAATCTTTGTGAGATTTTTTAGAAACGAGAAAGTGATAAAATTGAAAACTAATTTTTCAGTTTTGTGTTATTAACAGTATATTTCCCTATTCTTAATAATGATATATGCTTTCATGTCTTTGCTAGACCTACTGAATTTTTTTCTTTTAATACTTCTATTGCTATCTTGGATTGCTTTATTTTATTTTATTTTTTAACCTTTCACATCATCAAAATAAGGATAAAACATTATGATGATGTGAAAGAGTTAACATTTAGCTTCTCAACAAAAAACAATACAGTTCTAGAACATGTATTGGTTGAAAATATATGCTGTTCAGATTTGGTAAGAAATCTGTTAAAGGAACAAAATAATTTAGTAACACCTCATTTCTGCATGGAATCACAGTCACTGAGCATTGCTGCATTTTAGTTATCTGCTCCAATAGAATTTTGTACATTTTTCAATTTAAAAGTTTTGTCAATCACAGTCGTGTTTCATATCCTTTATTTTTTAATGTTATTGTTTTATATATTAAAATAAAATTAATATAAAAAAGTAAGTACCAACAGAATACGTTGTATAGTAGTAAGCTTTTTTTTAATCAACATATGTACTATTTGAATACCAGTGAGATCATTTCCATCAAGCAAAAGCATATGTTCTTTTTAATGCATCAGATTGACCTAATTTTAAAAAATATACTTGTGAACAAATTAACTTTAAAATTTATTGTTTGGTCCAACTAGGGAAGAAAGTTAGTGCTTAGAAAGTAAAAAGAATGCAGGGATTTTAAAAGGTAACTTTTTAAATGAAGCAAAAAAATAGAAACACACCAATGAAAAGAAGGTTATACTTTTTATTCTACTATTCTTTACATTAAAATTTTGTCATCCAGGAAGTTTTCTTAATTATTTTTGACAAATTTGTGTTTAGTGTGAAAAAAATAATTCTACACATATTAAATAGTGCAAATAAAAAGTAAGCTAGCTGGCTTACTTTTGCCCTTCAAGGGTTAAATTTAAGTTTGCATGTAACTGTCTCCTTTTACACAGATATATGGGGATTTATCATTCATTACCAGTCCTTCCTCATGTACTAGATGAGATTAATGTCTGCTTAATGTTATGGAATCTTTTTCCATGTTGAATACACCATTGATATTACATGAGGCATCTTTTGCCTTATAAAATCATAAGTTAAGGCTTTAACCACTTTTTCTAAGGCATAAGGTTTTATTTATCTGGAAAGGCTGATATTTTTGAAAGCATATCACAATTCTATATTAATACCTGTTGCTATGTACTTTTTCTAGATTACTACAAGGGACGACATAAATTCAAAGCAGGTTGCTCCAGTGAAAGCAGACCTGGAGTCTGAATCTTTTCGACCAAACCTAAGTGATCCCAGTGAACTCTTACTGCCAGATCAAATTGAAAAGGTATGATGTACCCACAATGTGCCTTTCTAAGTGTGTACCCGTGAAAGTAAAACAACCTCTTTTCAGTTGTTTCTGAAGCAACATGTTTACTCTTACTACTGTTCCTCTCCCATGAAGAAAAAATAAGCATAATATACTGACTAGTGTTAATAGAAGGTGTTAAGAGATATAAGTAAGCAGACACTAAAATAAGTAACAGTAGCAGTTTAGGTGAGATAAGTGAAGAAATTTTGGGCATAGAGAAATTAAACAGCTTGTTTAAGGTCACATAGTTATAAAGTATTGAACCTTGATTCAAACTCTGATAGTCTGGCTCCAGAGCCCATTATTTGAGAAGTATTTTAATAATCAGGCTAACAGTCCATCCAGTGTTTTTGTAATTTGATACAGAGGGCACAAGCAGTAAGTAATCCATGTTTCTTGCCTCTTTTCTAATTTGTAACTGGTTCAGCCTGATTCTTTTCCTAGTGGACAATTAATATTTCATACTGAGAGGTGTATAATTACTTTTTAAGCATCTCAGTATCTTTGAAAATAGTAAGTAATTTCTACTGTTATTTCATTTTGAAGTCTACATTTTATAAGAATTCCAACTGGCATTAGTATCCTACATATTGATAATATGCTATCAAGTAAATGCTAATATTTTGTTTTTCAAAGCTTACCAAGCATCTTCCACCAAGAACAATAGGCTATCCGTGGACTCTCGTTTATGGTACTGGGAAGCATGGCACAAGCTTGAAGACCCTTTATCGAACAATGACAGGTTTAGACACCCCAGTACTGATGGTGATTAAGGACAGTGATGGGCAGGTACGAATAACTAACTGCATAGACACCTTATCCTTTAAGAGATTGCAATAAAAGTAACTTTTAGCATATTCCTTTGATTAAAAATTATTTCATTAGAACATTTGATTGTTTAACTGTTAATTATTAGATACTTTAACATGCAAGGCAGTGCTAAGTGTTGCTGAGGATAGATATGAGCATGAATAATGAAGAGTTCCTGCCTTCAAATAGATTATAGTGTGATAGAAAGAATATTTAAGTGTAACAGTATCTCTAATGCTGAGCAAAATAAGCTAAGTGTAGTAAGAGTCCAGAAAAAGTGAAAGGGTGTTTACAGTAAGAGTTATTCTATTTGGGGAAGATAAGAATAAGGTTTATGACAAGGGTGGAAATTGACAGAGTCTTGAAGCATGGGTAAAGTTTTGATAGTTGAAGATAATCGTGTGAGAATAATAGCAAGAACAAAAACTCAGATAAGAGAAAGAAGCATTGGTGTTTGTTTGTGAAACAGCAAGTTCAGGTCATTGACTAGCAGTGGAGAGTAATATGAGGGTAAAATAGCAATATTAATTAGAATAAAAGCCAAAACGATAGTACTATTAACACCTTTAATGTGTTTATCATGTGCTAGTCACTTCACTAATCACTTTATATGCGTTATGTCACTTAATCATCAAAGAGATTGATACTGTTATCATCCCCACTTTAAAGATGAGTTAACTGTGATTTGGAAGTTCATCAGCTTACCCAAGGTTTCATAACAAAGAAAAGATATTTGAACCAATGAAAATAAATGAATTCCTGCTACATGCCATAGCGTAAAGTATGGCAGACATAATATTGAATTAAAAATTAGACACTAAAGAAAAACTTCTTTATGGTTTCATTTATAGAAAGTTGATAAATGGGCAAAATGAATCTATGGTGGTGTCAGGCTAGTGGTTTTTCTTGAGGGAGTTGGGAATGTTGAAGCTCTCACAAGGAGAGCTTCTAGAGTGCTGGTAATGTTTTGTTTCTTGATTTGAATGAAGGTTTCATGAGACTTTGCTTTGTGATAATTCTAAGTTGAGTTGTACATTTATATTTTGTGCACTTTCTATATATATAAAATAGCCTTCCAATAAGGAAGTCTTTTAAAAATTAAGGTTATAAGGATAGAATGTGAGGAGAGACAGTGACTGTAGAGAACATCTATCAGTCTCTTTACACTCCCATTTTCTGATATGGAAACTTAGACCAAGAGGACTGACATGACATGTCCAGGTATTTTTTGTTTGTTGTTTTTTTAAGTATTTTTTATTGGAGTGAAATCACTCTGCAACTTATTATTTGATGTGTTGTTTGATGTGAAAATATGCCACTGATATCTATACAAATATTATACAGGTATATATAGTTTTTGTAAAATTATTAGATTATTCTAAGCAAGCAAAAAATTTTATTGTAATTTAAATTATTGCTGAAGAGCCGATTGTAACATTTTTATTTTAAATTTAATTCACATTTCCTTTGCAACATTGAATATGAGCAATTATTTTTTTAACATTTACTTGTACGTTTTTGTGGGATTCTGTATGTTGTTTCAATATGTGTATATACTACACAATGATTCACTTAGGGTAGGTAGCATATTTTTGTACCCTTTAGTCCACCACTTCTCTTCCCCCCCGATCTCCCCCCTCTCTCAGCCTCTGGTAACCATTATACTACTCTTTACCTCTATGAGAACCACTTTTTTCTTTTAGATTCCACATATGAGTGAGATCAGGTGGTATACGTCTTTCTGTGCCTGACTTATTTCACGTAACATGATGGTTTCCAGTTCCTTCAGTGTTGCTGCAAATAATAGGATATCATGTCTTTTCATAGCTCAATAGTATTCTATCATGTATATATACCACAATTTTTTTTTAATCCATTCACCCATGATATTGATTCATCATCCATTGATTCCATCTCTAGACTATTGTGAATAGTGTTGTAACGAACATGGGAGTGCAGGTGTCTTTTGGATATATTGATTTCATTTCCTTTGGGTGTATACCCAGTAGTAGGGTAGCTGGGTTGTAAGGTAGATCTACTTTTACTTCTCTGAGGAACCTCTGTACTGTTTTCCACAATGGCTGTTCCAATTTACATACCCAGCAACAGTGTCAGAGAGTTCCTTTTTCCCCACATCCTCAACAGCGTTTGTTAATTTTCCATCTTGTTGATAATAGTCATTCTGACTGGAGTGAGATGATATCTTGTGGTTTTAATTTGCATTTCCCTGGTAATTAGTGATTTTGAGCATTTTTTCATCTGCTTGTTGGTCATTTGTATTTCTTCTTTTGAGAAATGTCTGTTCAAGTCTTTTGCTTATTTTTTAATTGGGTTATTTGTTTTTTTACTGTTGAGTTGTTTGAATTCCTTATATATTCTGGATATTACTCCCTTGTCTGATGTATAGGTCTCAAACACTTTTTCCTATTCTGTAGGTTGTCTCTTTACTTTGTTGATAGTGTCTCTTACTGTGCAGAAGCTTTTCAGTTTGATGTACCATTTGCATACTTTTGCTTTAGTTGTCTGTGCCTTTGTAGCCTCACTCAAAAAAGTACTGCCCACTCCCATTTTGTTTAGTGTTTTCTGTATTTTTTTTTTTATTTTTTATTTTTGTAGTTATATAGTTTTGGATCTTAAATTTAGGTCTTTACTCCATTTTGAGTTGACTTTTGTGTAGGGTGAGAGATAGAGTTTTAGTTTCAGTCTTGTGCATGTGGATATTCAGTTTTCCCAGCACCATTTATTAAACAGGCTGTCCTTTCGCTACTGTATATTCTTGCCACCTTTGTTAAAAATCAGTTGGCTGTAAGTGCATGGGTATATTTCCAGACTCTCTATTCTGTTACATTGGTGTATTGTCATTTTTATGCTAGAACCATGCTGTTCTGGTTACTATAGTCTTAGAGTATATTTTGAAGTCAGGAAGTATAATGCCTCCGACTTTGTTCTTTTTGTTCAAGATTGCGTTTGCTATATGGAGTCTTTTGTGGTTCAATACATATCTTAAGATCATTTTTTCTATTTCTGTGAAGAATGTTGTTGGTATTTTGATAGGGATTGCATTGAATGTGTAGATTGCTTTGGGGTAGTATGGATATGTTGATGATGTTAATTCTTCTGACCCATGAACATGGGATGTCTTTCCACTTATTTGTGTCCTCTTCAGTTTTTTCACCAATGTAGTTTTCTTTGTAGAGGTTTTCCTCCCCTTTGTTAAGTTTACCCCTAGGCATCTCATTTTTTGGTAGCTATGGTGAATGAGATTACTTTCTTGATTTCTTCTTTTGCTCTTTCATTATTGGCATATAGGAAGGCTATTGATTTTTGTATGTTGATTTTGTATCCTGCCATTTTACTGATTCATTTATTAGTTCTAGTAATTTTTTGATGGAATCTTCAGAGTTTTCTATGTATAGGATCATTTATTATGCAAATATGGATAGTTTGACTTCCTCCTTTCCTATTTGGATGCCCTTTATTGCTTTCTCTTGTCTTATTGTGTTGACAAGAACTTCCAGTGCTATGTTGAATAAGAATGGAGAAAGTTGTCATCTTTGTCTTGTCCCAGACCTTAGAGGAAAAGCCTCCAATTTTTGTCCATTCAGTATGATATTAGCTATTGATCTGTCATATCTGGCCTTTATTATGTTGTAGTACATTTTTTTATACCTAATTAGTTGAGTGTGTTTATCACGAAGTATGTTGGATTTTATCAAAGTCTTTCATTTATTTATTCTCTTATTAGGGCATCTACTGTGTGTCTTGTACTGTGCAAGGCTGTGAGGTTAAAACACCAAACAATTCAGATCCAAAGCCTACCTTCATGGAGTTTACTTTTCAGTAAAAAAAAACACCAAACAATTTAGACCCAAAGCCTGCCCTCATGGAATTTACTTTTTTTAGTAGCAGAATGTTTAGAAAAAAATCTACTGAAAGATTTTTGCTTTCCTAAGCACTATGATCCCATAGCAGCATGTACGTACATTATGCATATAACTCCTGAAATGTGTTAACCAGTAGTTAAGATTGTCTGTTTGATTGCTGTAATAAACATCTTTTTAGATTTCAAAACTAGAAGAATTTGTTTTTTCCTCATTGAGAAACTGGTAAGCTTTGTACTTGACAATAATATGAATTATATAGTAACTGATTATTTTTCCCTATTCAAGTCCAAGTAAATAAACTATACCAGATTTTTTTTTTTTTTTTTTTTTTTTTTGCATTTAAACATATATGATGGGATAATTCTTAGTGAAACATAGTCATGTCATTGAACATGCCTTTTTTCATACTTAGGTTTTTGGTGCATTAGCATCTGAGCCATTTAAAGTGAGTGATGGCTTTTATGGTACTGGAGAGACCTTTGTTTTTACATTCTGTCCAGAGTTTGAGGTAAGGACAGTTTTTCTAATATTCCATTTATAAAGAGATAATGAATAAAAATAACATACACTTTGGAGTCATGCACACTTGCATTTGACTCCTATCTCTTTCATTTACTAACTGATAACTTAGCCTTTCTTTGACCTTCAACTTTCCCAAAAATACAACGGGGATCATAAAATGTAACAAGGTTATATAAAAAATTGTATGTGTAAAACACTTGGCATGGCACTAAAGACACATCAAGGACTCAGTAAGGAGTACGCATCATTATTACCATTCTGTTATGAATTGTCATTCTGAAATTCCTAGTAACTTTTAATGACTAGGTCTAATGATGTACATCTTGAAAACTTAAAAAGTAAATTATATAGATTTAAATCAAAAGTGATTAACTGATTTCTTTTTCTTTATCCTATGTGGCTGTCTTTACTATGGCTTTTCTAACTTAAGTTGAATACATTCTAATGCCAGTGAGGTATAAATGAATTTTAGTGAACATGTAGCTTTTCTTAAAACATTGAGTGCAATCCCAGCATCTCAGGTATACTGAAGTCCAGCATGTCAGTCCTTCCCTAAGAGATGAAATTATATTTTAATCTCGAGAAAAGGAATCAACCCAGTTGGTTAAAAAAAATGTAAGAGTGGTCTTTAGGAGGAGTTTCTATAATGAATAAAATAAGGATTTCATAACACAATAGAAGTTCTCTTAAACTTGTATTTAACTGGCTCACCAGATTAACCAGTGCTTTCTCTTGTCTCTGTGAAACAATCAGCTGATACCTACAGCTTAACCAAAAGCTTGTAGCATTTACAAGTTTTCTAAGCTTCAGTTGTGCTTATTCTCAAATCTTTAAGCTTCAGTTGTGCTTATTCTCAAATCTTTTTATAACTATAATAATGTAATAAACCTAAGGTAATCATGAAAATATGAGTGTTAAAAGTTAAGTTTTATTTAAACCTATAATGAATACTTTTGAAAAAAATACTTATATAAATGTAAGGTGCTGAAAATTACTACTCTATTAGGTTGACAAAACACCCATAAAAGGTTAGAAAAAGTATTTTGTTTTGTTTTACTTTTTGGCTTCTGATCAGTACAGGTCTTGAACCCTGGACCTCGGTGTTAATCAGCACCACGCACCACACTCTTATCCAACTGAACTAACCAGCCGGCCCCAGAAAAAATGTTTTTAAGAATATTAATATCTACTTTTTACCTCAGATTTCTCAAATGTTTTTAAGGTCTCACCGTTCTTTAAAGCAATTGAAACTGGAAGTCATCAGTGTGCATCATAGGCATGGTTTTTGTAAGAATGATGATCAGCAAATCTATACCCAGAGAAAACACCTTGACTCTATCTCATCTTTTTTTTTTTTTTTTTTTTTTTTTTTGGTGGCTGGCTGGTACAGGGATGGATTCAAATATCTCAAAATATTAAAATGTTGTCATAGTAATGTATATTTATGTTTAGTTAAAATAAAAGTGAATGGCATCTATATCAGTATTTTAAACTGATTCTACTTTCTTCAACTTTTTCTATTAACCATCCAGCTCTTGATATCTATACAGTCACAAGAGATAAGTGTGTGTGATGAGTTAACAAGATTTGAGGAATTAAAATTGAAGGTTATGTTGTAGTAGAGTGTGTGCTTTCAAATTTAGCCACACAAACCCAAAACCCAAAGCACCAGACCCTTCTGTGCTAAGCTTTTTGTGTTGTTATTACTATAACTGTCAGCCTAGGCTTTGTTAACTCTTTTTGGTTTTGGAAAACTAACTCTGTATAGTGACCATTTTCATCTACCTATTTAAAGCTTTTTTTCATCAATACAGGTCTTTAAGTGGACAGGAGATAATATGTTTTTTATCAAAGGAGACATGGATTCACTGGCTTTTGGTGGCGGAGGGTAAGTCTCTTGAACATTTTACCATGAGATTTTTTATTGGTAGAGTATTTGTTTCCTCATTTTAAAATGTTGTTTAGTCGATTCCCTTTGGGTTAAAACACATCTTTAGAGTACAGTAGCTCTTTGATAATTTGAAAGAGAAATATTCCAATATTTTTGAACTTCTCAAATTTCAAATAACCATGGTGCTATGTTTTTTCTCCCATTATGTGGAACAGGTCCAATTGTTTTCATGTTATTCTATTCTGGGGACTATTTGGATTGACATTTTAGACAATACTAGAAATTGGTTTTTCTACAAAAAATTTCAGTAACCCCCCTAAGTTTTTAGGTTTATTTTGTTTACTTTTTTGTTTTGCTTTTAACAGAATGACTCAGTCAATAAGTTGATTCTTTTGGCATAGCAAGCACTATTAGGAACTTTGTTTTCCTATTCTAGTATCCCAATTTCGTTTAGTCTTTACAATGTTGAGTGGTAGCCTGCTCTGCTACTTTCCATCTTGGACTTCTCAAATAGTGCTTAGCAAGCCTCAACTACTCTTTTCTTTGCTATTTTTTTCTATCCTTCATTATCAGACATAAGATATGCTAAATAATTCCCAGACTTGTAAAACTGTTGCCTTATTTGTATCCCACAGTTTAGGATATACTATAATGGTAATTCATTCAGGCCTCACAGTATTGTTAGCCTTCAGGAATATTCACCATCCCAGGTGATTCTGGCATATTTTCTTATAACTTCTCTACCAATAGGTGTTTGGAAGACATGATTTTAGTGATTCCAAACAACCATGGTTATTGTAGCCTTCTCAGTTATTTTTAGTTATTAGATTCAGTATACAATGTTTACATGATCCAATTACACCTTTTTTGGTGGGGGTTGGGGGGAGTGTCATTCAGCTCTTTCCTACAGTGCTAAAGGTCAGATGTTATCTTGTAGCCATTTATATTTTAGAGTCATGTCTTTAGAGATTACTCAATCTGCTCTTTTTTTTCTTTTTTTATATAATTGACAAATTCCATCCCAGAGAGGTTAAGTAACTTAACCCAGTTGAACCTAGATAGTGGCCCATTGAGTCTACAGACAGGTTTTAATTCCAGACCAGTTTTTCCCCCCACTGAAATGTAACTACCCATGTTTTTAAAAATCTTCCTCTCTTAAACTCTGGCTCAGTGCTGCAGGCTTGATATCTTAGGTAAAGTTTAGAGAATCTCCAAGGGATATCTCTGGAAATTATGTTAATTATTAATCTTTGCTTCTCCCCTGTTCTGTTAGATAGAAAAGTTCTCCATAGGGTAGAAAGAAGTCCTATTATAACCCATTTTTCCCCCCTGGTAACCCAGTTATATTTATTCTAATTAGGTAAATTGGACCTTATTATTTATTTTTTAAGTTACTATTATACCTGACTTCTATCTTGGTCCCTCTGCTTGATGAAGAAATGCAACGCATTTTTCCCCCCTGGTAACCCAGTTATATTTATTCTAATTAGGTAAATTGGACCTTATTATCTATTTTTTAAGTTACTATTATACCTGACTTCTATCTTGGTCCCTCTGCTTGATGAAGAAATGCAACGTCACATCTTTATCCATTTAAAGTTTTTTCAAACTGAGCTCTTTTGCTTTCCACTTCCTACCCAGAAAACCAGTTATTTTCACAATGTTTAGCACATTAGTGAAAAAATAAAGTAGTTACTTATACTGATGATCCGTTTTTAGCAGTAGAATTCTAAGTATTTCAAAGAAACATGTCTTATTTACCAGGCCCTTAACATTAACCCCACATTTTATTTTAGTAGGGAATTTTCATGCCTTTGAGAAATTCATGGTAAATATGTTAAAACCACTCAGCAAAGAGAAACTCATAATACCAGGTAAAGAATAACACAGTAGCTCCTATCTCAAAAGCTAATTCTGTATCAAGTTAATTTTAGAGAACTCACTTATTTTTTGATCTGTATAATAAGTGATTTTATAATGGGATATGAACAGAACAAAATTGCCTGTGTCAATATGGAAAAGAGTAACAAAAGGTTTGGAAAAATTAACGGTTTTAGGTTTGTTAGATATTGAATTGTCTCATTTAAATCATTTTACAGTTTAGGACAAGAATATTAAGAGATTGTTGTTTTTATGTATTGCAGAGGAGAATTTGCCCTTTGGCTTGATGGAGATCTCTATCATGGAAGAAGCCATTCCTGTAAAACGTTTGGGAATCATACACTTTCTAAGAAGGAAGATTTTTTTATCCAAGACATTGAAATCTGGGCTTTTGAATAAGTACAATGCTCTCTGTCTTAGCAGGATAATGGCCCAAACCTGACATGAACAAGCATTGTTTGGAAGGTTCAAAAAGCAATACAATGTAACATGTCACTCGTGCTTTAAAATTAGTTTGTATCACCTTTCGTTACAGCTACAATTTTGGAGTATATTTTTCAAATCATGATCCTGTCCCAGAGTTCTTTATTAGACCATGGCCTGGGTCCATGTAGTATAATAACAACTTGGGTTTTGTCAATATTTTGGCAGCATTTTGATTATAGTGACCACCTTATTTTTAATTTGTATTATCTGAGTCTCCTAAGAGGATGGTGCTCTTTTTTTTGAACCTATTTTGATTTATGTAGATTTTTTTAACCATATTGATTCTTTCAGTAGAGCAGTCTAATTGGGGCATTGAGGAAATGAAGATTAAATATTTCTTTATCTGTGAGGTTAACACAAGTGACATTTGTGAACATACTCCTCTTATCCTTATGAAGGAAAAACCATATGCCAAAATAATACCTACTTCAGAGACCACCAAGTTCTAGTTTTGATTCACACCACAATATTCTTTCTATTAATTTTGCAGAATTCTGGTTATAATAGACCACAGTGCACATGATCTGCAGGTTTGGGCATATACTTTCATTATCGAATTATCTGATAAAGAATTATAAAATGACAAAGGAGAATGAGAACTTAATGATTCTATTGTATTTAATGTATCAAGTAAGAAATATACTATTTACATATTTGTAGTTTAGTAGGGCATTATCATAAGTACAAAAACTATGAAACAGATACATATTTCTTCAACATATTGTGTCATGTATACTGTTTTATAGTTCTACTGTTTTAGCCTTGTTGCACATTAGCTCCCAAAATGTAGGTTATTCCTGTTGAAAAGGAAAAAAAAAACTTGTGATTTCTTTTCAGTGGTATATATTATTAATTACCATTAGGATTTGCTCTTATAAAAGGGCGATGATTATAATAGACAATATTGTAACTCAGTAAACTTGTTGAATATGCAAACTTACTGTCAAGTGACCTCAAAAAAAAAAAAAAAAGATAGAATACACTAGTAGTTCTTATTCTCTTTTGTAGGAAATCAATAAAAAGCCATTATGGCAATAATTCATCAGTCAATTTTCAAGCTTCATGTTATGCAAAAAAAGTAACAATCCTGCTCTTTTACAAGTGACAGTGACTTTGTGCTGAAATTTCAGCTATTCCAGGTAAACATTGTATATCCTGTAAATTAATGTTTAAAGGTAGTTTTGTTCTTATAGAAAGTGTTAATTGCCAGGTTGCTTATAGCACTTTAAATTATTCTACAAATGAAATTATAAGCCAAATATGTTGGCTTACGTAGTTTTAGTTGTATAGCATTTGAATACATTTAGTTCTTTTGAAAGTTTAGATAATTATCTAAAGAAAACATAATGCTAACAAAAAACAAAATCTGATGTTCTGTTATAATATGCTATTGCTGAATATGAATAGAAATATAGAAGGCATCATTTTCTTGTCTATGTAAAGCTCTCTCATTATAAGTTAGTAACAGTATATAGATTAAATGTTTACAATATAGGCAATTGTAAATAAATATATCAGTTTTTCCCCCTTTGGTCTTCCACAGCAGTATTATTGTCTTTGTGGAGTTGACTAATCATTAAAAAAATAATAATAATAATCCTGTAATGGATTTCAACTACAATAAGGTCGTAGTGGTGTATACCAAATAAAATTAAATATATAAATACAAACTTGAGTTTGGATTTATTGAATAATCAAGTTGTTTTCATATCTAAGAAATCTTTGATTAAGCACACTATCTATGATGTTTAAAAAATGCACCTAGTAGCTTACATGGTGGTGGTAGTGGTGGTAATAGTGATGCAAGGATACATTCAAGTAGAGGTAGCACCACAGTTTAAATAATGGAGATGGGAGAGGTCACTTAACACATGGGAAAGTGGCAAGTCATTTGATATTTTTAAAGAAAGTTGCTTTTATTTTTGGTGGAGAGTGCATACTAAGATAAACGCCATGTCATAAAGAGCCTTATTGTGTGCTGTGCCAAGAAATTTTGATTTTTTTTTTTTATTCCATTGGAGCAACTAAGAACATTTGAAAGGAGGAATGACATAAACAAATTTGCACTTTAGGAAAATACCTGTGAAAAATAGATTAGTAGAGGGAAAAACTAGAGACAAAACAATAACCAAGACTGTTGAAAAGTCCAGAAAAAAATAAAGCCTGAATAAGAATACTAGTAGTGGTGGGTGATAAGGAAGGAAGCATGGACTTGAAAGAGATTTAGGGATTAGAATTAACAGGACTTGGTTATTCATTGGATGTCAGAGAGTAAGTTAAGGATAATTCTCAGGTTTTTGATTTGGGAACTTGGGTGTATTATTTATCAAGATGGGCTATGTACAAAGAGGAGGAATAAGCAGGATGATGAAATGAAGTTAGTTATGGACCTTATTATACTACAATGTGAGAAACCAGAGAATAGATTTTTGAAAGGGGAGGGGGAGCACTTAACATTCCATTCTGAAAGATAAAAAGCTTTAAAAATCAACAACATACAGATAAATTTGAAGCCATGACTTGTGGATGAAATGCCTTTGGAGATTATAGACTGGATTAAAAAGAGGATTCTTGAGATAGATTTTTGTGGCATAGCAATATTAAGTGACAGACAGAAGAAAAGGCTCTAAGTGTTCATCTGAAGAAGCTAGAAGAACAGCAAATTAAACCTAAAGAAAATATAAAATGGGAGAAAATTAGGATATGAGCAGGAAATAAAATTTTAATAAATTAAAATTTAATTTAGGTTAATAAAATTAAAAACAAGTGTACAAGACAAAATTTCTGAGAATAATAAAATTGTAAACCTCTGGCAAGATCAAGGAAAAGGGAGAAAAATTACCATTGTGAAGAATTTAAAAGGAAACATCACTACAGAACTCTAGATCTTAAGAGGTAAGAGGGTATTGTGAACATCTTTGTGTCAATAAGTTTGACAATGTAGATGAAAAGGAAAAACATTTTTTAAAAACAGAATTTATTAAACCTGACCCAGAAGAAATAAAAATCTTATATATTACAGAATTTGAATCTGTTAACTACCAAAAAAAGAAAGCCTTTCCACAAAAAACTCAGGCCCAGATGGTTCCACAGAGTAATTCTAGGTATTTAAAGAAAAAAAAATAGTCTTAGATGAATTCTTCCAGGGTCCTGAGGAAAGAGAGCATTTCTCAGATTGCTTTCTGAAGCTAGCACAACCTTGATGCCAAAACTTAATAGTCCTTACAAAAAAATAAAGTCACAACAATTTCATGGATACAAGCATAAATGCAAAACACAGATGCAAAATCCTAAACAAAATAGTCACAAATCAAATTCAGTGATATAAAAGAATAACATTTTATAGCCAAATTGGGTTTATTTTAGGAAAGCAAGAATAGTTAACATTTTTAAGTTGGTGCCATTTACCACAATAACAGGAGAAAAACATTTAATGATTATAGAAGCAAGAGAATCATCTGATTAATTTTAATACCTGTTTATGATAAAAACTTATAGCAAACTGGGAATCTTACTTGGTCTGTTAAAAAAAAAAATCCTTGAAAAATACACAGGAAGCATCAAACAACAGTGAATTATTGAAAGCTTTGTCCCAGAGGTAGGAAACCAGACAGTGATCACTGCTATCACCACTTCTGTTTAGCATTGTTCTGGAACTTCTAACCAGTTCAATAAAGCAAGAAAAAACAAAGACTTAAGCGTTAGAAGAAATTTAAATGTGATTTGCATGATTGTATGATTGTAGACAGAAATTTCAAAAAGATCTAACTATTAGAATTGATACAGCAAGGTCACTCAATGAATACAAGTTCAGTATTCAAAAAACAAAAACAGAATAAAACCCTTTTTATGTACAAACAACAAATAGAAAATGAAATTTTAAAAATTGCCATTTGTGCGTTGGACTTGCAGAGGGAGAGAACATACCTTGGGATACAAAGTGGAGTGGGAGGGGAAGGGGGATTGGGAGAAAGGTTGGGGATAATTGGGTGAAGGACATGGGGTACAATCGCAATTTGTGGTAATGGGCATGCTGCCAGTATGGTTCTGGCCTTCACATTTTGGGCACTGGTGACTCAACTTTGTAGCTCATGAATATTCATAAACCATAAAAAAATAGAAATAAAAATCGCCATTTGTAATGCAATTGGAAATGCCAAATATAAAGCAGAAGAAACAGACCAAAGGAGGAACAATATACCATATTCATGATTGGCAGACAATATTGGAAGATGTCACTTCTCTAAAATTGATCCGTATTGGCAGCGAACATCTCACCCAGGCTTATTTTTTGTGGAAATTAAGCTGATTCTAGAATGCATGTGGATATGTAAAGGCAAAGAATTGCTAAGGCGACATTGGTGAATGAAGGTGTGGTCCTCAATTCCAGATATGATCTATTAAAAGCTGAGTAAGTGAAAGCAGGCAAGAAACAGAGCATGCCCAGGATCCTAGGCTAGAGCTGAGGGCCACCCCCTCCTCCCGGAAGCAGGCAAGAAACAGCACACCCTGGAGCCCAGGGCAGCATCCCTGCCTGGAAGCAGGCGAGGAGCATACTGAAAACACCACTCTCAGGCGGGTGGCCCACAGCCACAGCCACATCCACAGCTGCTGCAAAAGTGGCCTGATGCCACAACAGTAGCCACAGCTACCATGCGGGCGGCCCACTAGACATTTGACTGCAGTGACACAAGGAGTCACCAGCAGAGACTGGAAAAAGAAGACATCTCTCTCTTCAGAACCCATTCCAGCTTAACAGAAGCAGCAACTGCTCTATCATGCCCTGCTTTATTTCTGATTTTAGTAATTTCTGTCGTCTTTTTTTCTTGGTAAGTCTCGATAAAGGTTGGCAAATTTTGTTGATCTTTTTTAAAGAATCAACTTTTGGTTATGTTGATTTTCTCTATTGTTTTTAATTCCCTGGTTCATATATTTGTGTTGTAGTCTTTGTTATTTCGTACTTATATTTGCTCTTGGTTTAGTTTCCTGTTCTTTCTCTATTTTTTTTTGGTAGAAGTTTACATTACTGATTCGAGATTTTTCTTATTTTAACATAGGTGTTTACAAGTATAAATTTTCCCCTAAGCACTGCATGAGCCCTGTGTCCTATTAATTTTGATGTGTTGCACTTTGATTTTTATCTCAAAGTACTCCCTAACTTCCCTGTGATTTTTTCTTTTTATCCATTATTTAGGAGAGTGTTGTTTAATTTCCACACATTTGTGAATTTTCTAAATTTCCTATTGTTATTTTGGTCAGAGAACATATTTTCTATGATCTTAGTCTTTTTAAGTGTATGAAGACTTGTTTTGTGACAAAAATTAAAAACAAACAAACAAACAAAAAAGGCTGAGTAAGAAAGACAATGTGGTATTGGTCCAAAGTCCAGAAACTGATTTTTTAAAATGGTAACACTGCTGCTCTGTAGAGAAGGTGGTGTTTTCAATAATGGTGTTATATTAACTGGGTTATCCATCTGGAACAAAAAAAACTTATCTCACGCCACAAATAAAAATTAATTACAAATTGCAGATCTAATTGTGAAAAGTAAATAAAGCTGTTACTTTAAAAATATAGAAGAATATGTTCATAACCTTAGTATAGGCACATATTTCTTAAATGGGACACAAAAAGCACTAAGTATAAAGGAAAAAATGATAAATTATACTACATTAAAATTTTAAGTACTTCATCAAAAGGCATCATTAAAAGTGAAAAGAACCAACAAGAGTGGAAGGTTTTTGTAATACCACAGATCTAATGAAGGATTCGTATCTGCAGTATGTAAAAGACTACAAATCAATAACAGAAGAAAATTCAACACAACTCTAAAGTCACAAGACTTTAACAGGAAATTCCCAAGAGTATCAAAATAGCCAATTAAAAGATGTTTTAAAAGGCAACGTGAACTGTAACAACTTAGGAAAATTTTTTGATGTTATCTACTAAAGCTAAGCAAACACATGCCTTTGACCAGCAAGTTTAATTCCTTGATAATGTACCCAATAGTAACGTGTATGTGTGTTTACCAGGAGATATCTAGTAGAGCGTTTACAGAACTATTTGCTTTCTTCTTTCAATCCTCTACCTCCTCCACATTCACTCACCCATTCCCCCACCTGTTATTTTACTGAATATCATTGTATTACACGTTACCTGTAAATACTTTCATGCATTTAATCAGAGCAAGGATATCATCTTGTATAAGTACAGTACAGTGATCAAATTTGAGATATTTAACCTTAATACAGGAATATGATCTAACATACAATCCATTTTCAAATTTCGCCAGGGGTCCTAATAATATCCTTTAAAGCATTGTTTTTCCTGATCCATTATCCAGTCCAGGATACTGCATTGCATTTACTTGTTCTGTCTTTTTGATCTCCTTTAACCTGGAAGAATTCATTAGTCATTCTTTGTGTTTCATTATTTGTGATATGTGTGAAGAGTTCAGGACTGTAGAATGTCTTTTGATGTGGATTTGTCTGAATTTTTCCTTAAATTTAGATTATGCATTTTGACAGAAACCACAGAAGTGAAGTTGTGTCCTCTGCATATCAGGATGCACATAATGTATATTTATCTCCTTACAAATGATGGTAGCTTTGATTAGTTAATTCAGACAGTGTCTAACATGTTTCTCCACTGCTATAATTTTCCCCCTTGT